ACCTCCGCACAATCTCGCACAGTTCGCAAAAGTGTGTCAAGCACTTTGAAGGCAAGCCTCTTGTCGAGGCCGTATGCCTAAGCTCATCTAAGCTCATCACCGCTTACAGTCCCAGAGTCCTTGCTGGTTCTGGATGGTTCGTGTCACATCTTGGGGATCATCACAAGCATCAGCATGCAAAGTGCTTGTTGCCGTTCTAAGGTGAGGAAACAACGATATAAAGCAAGGCTACGATCGCCGCTGCGGTCGGCTCGTTGATGATGCGCAGAACGTTCATGCCCGAGATTGTTCCTGTTTCAGGCGGTGACGGTTGCAGACAGCTTTTACCGAATTTACCTGCTCCTACAACCTTGAACGGCATCCGAGGAAAATGGAATCAAGTACATGGGCCGTGCCAAAATTGACACCTTGCATGACTGCCGCCGCTCGACCCTCGTGCCTGCATCCTTGGTGGCCTGGCGCTGCGAGTCGTTGAAGTACGCGGGCACCTTGACTGTAGGAATAGCGAAGCACGTTGCTTGGAACATCCCCACCCCAACATGCTTTTCAGTATACCTGTCATGCTTCACATGACACGGATACTCACTCTCAAAAACTTCCACTTCCAAATAAATTCTGGGTCAGGCACCGCAAGCGCTCTACGCTTCAACTCTGCAGGGACTGGCCACTGGAGGAAAACTCAAAATACATGTGTTTAAGTATACCTGTACTCACGAGAGGGCACGGTCACGACGGCGTCGTTGATCTTGGAACCAAGGTAGGCCTCTGCCGTCTCCTTCATCTTAAGGAGCACCATGGACGAAATCTCTTCCGGATGGAACTTCTTCTCCTGCGAGGCATCGCATTAGGGCAGGCACAACAATGTCAGCATGCTGCTCTCTGGCCAGTTCTTTGTTTGGGCTTGCAATTATCTGCGGGGAGCCCTGGGTGTCCTCGCCCTCCACAGTGACCACGATGAGCGGCTTGTCGCTTGGACCGGCCACGCACTTGAAAGGCCACAGCTTGATGTCTGACTGCACGATGGGGTCGTTGAATTTGCGGCCAATCAGGCGCTTGGCGTCGAACACCTGGGCCCAAGCAAAGAGATCACAGTTGCCCTCACGTCTTCAGGAGAAATGCTCGTCATTCTGAAAATGAAATGCTGACATGCAAGACCTGAGCTGAAAAAGCAACCGGGTTGCCGTGTTCTCGGGGTTTCGAGCGACCTGATTCTTGGCTGCATCGCCGATCCTCGGACAAACACGGGGTGCGAACTAGTAGCAGAACAGCACAAATCTTCCCCAAAGATGGGCAGAGATGGGTCTGCCCTCATGTGGCTTGCAATGCTTCGGAGGATCAGGCGCTCGGTGTCCGTGAAGGCCACATACGAAGGAGTGGTCCGGTTGCCTCCGTTGGGGTCAATCAGATGCTTGGGGAACGGGGGCATGTGGAGAAGAGGGGATCATGGCTTGCTGTCGGCGTTGAATCATTGAAGCCCGGGACAAACACAGCACGTGGCACTAGTAAGTCCAGTCTGTCAAGCCTTGATCATTGGCAATGATCTCGACACCGTCGTTCTTCCAAACTCCCACGCAGCTGTACGTGGTGCCCAGGTCCTCGGGTTGGTTACGTTAGCTTGTTCAATACTGGATCAAAAAAACATCCCTCTGCCTCATATAATAGTTTCCCAAAATTGGGGACCCCAATATAGACCCCAAATACTATAATTGGGGACCCCCAAAATGGTACCCCTAATTTTGGGAAACCCCCACTCACCAGGCCTAGGCCAGGGCATTGGATGAACCCTTGATCAACACGAGCCAAGATAAACGAGTCCAAAGATTCGGGGCACAGTGTAGACACGCCAGTCAGTGACTGCTGCATCTATCTAGCCTATCAACTATCAATAACCACAAAAAAAAAACTACGTACGCAGCTGTTCAGGATACCTTTTCTGCCATAACCGCCTGAAACAGAAGCCAGGCTGCTTCTGGACTTCATGAGGTTTATCTGGATAGTGAGCTCACCACTAAAACAGCTGCCACACTGAAAACTGGACTCTGAGCCTCAACCAAACCTGAACTTCCTCGGGCATAGAACCCATGGAAGGGAAGCGTGTGAGGGCCTACTACCCCTCATGGAAACACGTCCCAGGGTCAATACCAATTGCGGTCTTCTTAGCCATGGCTTCGAAGGTCAAAATGAATCAGCACAAATGGCTGGGTGGAGCAAAACTGACGGCTGCAGAAAAGAACATGGCTGGCTGCGACGCCTAAGGCTTCACGTCAATTCGAACCTGCAACCATGACGAACATCATCTTCCCCTCACTCCCCAGGTGTTTCGCACAACCGTCAGCTATAGACCCTCATTTGGGTGGTTGTCAAAATTATGGTCCCTTTTTGGGTACCCTAAATACTAGGGGCCGTATTATAATAGGGATCCAAAAAGGGACCACAATTTTGACAACCACCCATTCATCTTCCAGGCATGATCTGGCGCTCCCTATAGTCCGTAGGTGTTGCCAAGGGGTTGGAAGCGGAGCTGACATCTACTCCGACATCTTAGTCTAGAGTCTAGATGTTCCAGTCTGTCATCGTAACGGTGCTTGCCGGATACCCACAGCCTGCATCCTGCCAACATCTTCCAAGGAAGATTCTACGGCCCACCAGAAGGTATACCAACACGTCAAGCCCTCCCAAATCCTAAGGGACAATAACTGCCATGAGAAACCCCACGTCCAAAACGTGTCTTTCTAGAAGCTCTTTGCCCTGAAGCAAGGCCAATTCTTCGAGAATCTTGAATTTGAAAAGCCCTTCCAGTTGTTGGAGCCGAGTCGCAACAGCCTCGCCCACTCGCCCCTGTCAAGAGAGCTATTCAATACCCAGGAAGGAAAAACCCCACATTCACCCCGACTGATTAAGTTCGGAAGTGGGCCTGCAGGATTTAGGGATCGCACAGCATTGTCACCAGCATTTGCAATCAATGTAGAGCTCAGGTCAAGTTGAAAGCTGTTATATCATTAGCATGGGCGTGTGTTCACCTAACAACGGTCCGCACCGACGTAAACGCGCAATCACCCTGATGCTCACCCTTTCCACTATTCTGGTTATCTGAGCCACTTGCAGATTTTTCACCTTGACCTTACAACCCTATAAACTTATGTATCCCTGTAAGCCCCTCGTTTCCACTTCATTTTCTATTCGTTTCTCCATTTGATTTTCCTAAACCCTACATAATATGGCACCTTTCATCTTGTTTTCCATTCCTGGATGCCTGAACCAAAAGCCCTAATCCGAAATCCCTTCTCTCACTATGTACCACTAGACATCCCTATAGACTCTTGTGTACCCTCATATGCCCCTATGTATCCCTATAGAACCGTAAGTATCCTTCTACACCCCTGCACGTGAATTCCTGAATCAAGCCCTAAAACCTGAAACCTAAACCCTGAGCCCTAAACCCAAAGCCCTGAACCCTAAACCCTGAAGTCCTAAATCCTGGACCCTAAGCCCTTATGCCTTGCAGTCTTTGAAGTTCCAGGCCACCGAAACCCCGACGACCTCAGCGCCAGTCGTCTCGCGGACCTCTCCCAACAGGCATCTGAGATATATGGGGACATATAGGGGTAGGTAGGGGAACATGATATATGGGGATATATAGGGATATGTGGGGTAAAAAGGGGTATAAGAGCACCCTATTGAACTCCTTCTCATCTTGGGGATTCCAATAACGAGGGTTTCAAATCACGCCCTCAGCCCTTATGAAGAAACATCCATGTAGTACCAGGATATATTCGGGAAAAAATTCTGCTATAACAAAAGGGCTAATGGACAGATTTCTCAGACAAACTGCCTGCTAAACCTTCCTGAGCTGGAGGACCACAAAAGCACTCTGATGTCTCCTTGCCGCTCTGGGAGAACCGTGAAGATTCGAAAAGAAACTTTGAACGAAGAGCCCTCTTACACACTAAACCTCATGTGGACCTATCATCGTGGTGCAAAAACTGTTCTTCGGCATTTCGGCAACAACCCATATCTGAAACTTGCAAAAGCAGCACGGGTTTCTGCCATGTCTCAGGTCAAGTGGGCTCCATGATTATGGGATGGGATTCTGTCTTTGCGAACCACGAAATGTAGATCACGCTCAGAAACTTGAGCTGCCTACCAGGGCTCCTATGCGCCCCAGCGAACCCACCTATGTCGGCTCTGTCATCTATGCCTGCCCCATAAAATATGATAGGCTCTTTTTGAACAAGATTGATGTTGATACTCCATAACCACGTTTGATCCTTAACCCCTATACATACATCTTAGACATGGAAGAGTTGGGCCTTCTGCTTCAGAACCTCTTCCACCTTCTGATCCCCTGTAAAGGGCGGCAGACCATCCAGCCTAGGCTTCTTCTCTTCACAGGCGTCCGAACGGCCGGGGGTTTTAATGATCATGGGGATTCAATTAGAGCCTCGAATTGCAAGATTCGGGGTTTCAGGGGACCCGTCTAAGGAGGGGGTTTATCAATAAAAGGTCTACACCCTAAACCCTAAACCCTAAATTGTAGTTTCCATTTTCTTTTCCATTATCCCTTTTTAACCCCTATATAACCCCTACATAAACCCTAGACCCTAAACCCTATGTAAACGCTAAACCCTAAACCCTAAACCCTAATAAACCCTACACCCGGAGCCCTAAGGAGCGAAGCATCTCGCAGCTGCACGGAGAGACACTCTAGTCTGGGTTACTGTTAAGGAGCTTAATTTGAGTTACTATATTGGGGGAACCATAATGGGGTTTACCGTTTAGGGTTTAGGGTTTAAGCTACTATATTGGGGGAACCATATTAATTACCATATATACCCATTACGGTAACTTAATTTAAGTTCCTTAACAGCAACCCAGTAGTTTGTAGCGGCCGCTTGTTCCAAAGAGCTAGCCTCTAGGGACTTTAGGAGGGACCCCTCATAGGGACCCTTAATCCCATTACCATATATAAGCCTTATATAGTCATTATACAAGGGTCCTAGGGACTTATATGGCCTCATATAGTCATTATATAACCCCTATATCCCTAGGTAGTCCCCATATTAGCCGCCATAAGCTACAGGGGTCCCTATTAGGGGTCCCTCCTAGATTCCTTAGATAGCCAGTGCGCTGAAGCCACCATCAACCAGTTCAAACCGTTGTTGGCCTAGTAGAAACTGATACTACAATTGAGAATCCCGGACTTGAGGATCCCAACAATTAGGAGTCCCGTTGTTGGGGCTGTAGATTGGGTCCCCCCCCTATGTATGTCAGCTACCGGTTGGACTTTACAGTGTGCCCCTGCAAACTTGGACATGCTAGACGGCCTCCAGTGCTCCTGAACCCATTCACTGAATCTACATCCTTGGATCAGGCGAGGTGCAAGAACCCTCCACAAGTGCGTATCAAAGCTGGATCCCCCCATGTATCCATCTCATAACTGTGCCCAAACACTACACCGCTCCGCATGGAGGCAGTCCTGCGCGGCCTCAAACCTGTAACTCATTGAAGATTCTTGAAAAGCTATTTCAAGTTGACTCGCTTGCAACACCTTGTAAAGTGTCCTGGTGATGTACCCGCTGGGATATGTCTTGCATTACGAATCTTCTGCATAACTTTAAAATCAATGGGTCCCCTTCTTAAAACACAGCCCTAAATTGGAATGATAGCTCGCAAGGAAAGAGAAATTGAATCTCCGCAATGTACCGCTGTCCACCATAGCAATGATTTTTTGCCATCATGACGTTGCCATGCCCGCACTTGATCAAACAAGGAACTTTGCAGTGAAGTCCGCCATGCTGTCGGTGTCTGTATCGACCTCGCAACTTCTGTCGGAGTTAGAGCAACAAGGCTAGTAGTAGTAGTAGTAGTAGTAGTAGGGTCAATCCGGGGGGGTTTGCCGCGTTTTGAAGCAGTTCATTTGGTGTGCCGCGGGGTCTGCCGCGTTTTGAAGCAGTTCATTTGGTGTGCCGCAGCCGTGGGTTGATCACCGTGCTGCGTTCGGGTTCCATTATGTGGGGCCACCGCCTGCGCCCCGCGCCACTGGACGCTGTGCAGCTTGAGGGGCTGCTGGGATGAATCGGGGACCAGAGCATCCATGCCAAAATCATAATTCCGTTCGGGTTCCGAGAGCATACGGTGACTAGAGCATCCATTCCAAAATCATAATTCCGTTCGTGTTCCAAGAGCATACGGTGACTAGAGCATCCATGCCAAAATCATAATTCCGTTCGTGTTCCAAGAGCATACGGTTACTAGAGCATCCATGCAAAAATCATAATTCCGTTCGTGTTCCAAGAGCATACGGTTACTAGAGCATCCATTCCAAAATCATAATTCCGTTCGTGTTCCAAGAGCATACGTGACTAGAGCATCCATGCCAAAATCATACTTCCGTTCGTGTTCCAAGAGCATACGGTTACTAGAGCATCCATTCCAAAATCATAATTCCGTTCGTGTTCCAAGAGCATACGGTGACTAGAGCATCCATTCCAAAATCATAATTCCGTTCGTGTTCCAAGAGCATACGTGACTAGAGCATCCATGCCAAAATCATAGTTCCGTTCGTGTTCCAAGAGCATACGGTTACTAGAGCACCCATGCCAAAAAATCATGATTACGTTCTTGTTCCAAGAGCATACGGTTACTTGAGCATCCCGTTTTGAGGCGGAAACTCTCCTCCGACAAACATCTCGTGGGCTCCGATGCGGGGAAAGGGTTGGTGCATGCCTGCAAGGACCTGAACCTTGACCCTTTGGCTACGCTGTGGACGAGTAACAATCCTTAATTGCTCAGTGCAGTTCGGGCAGTGGCATCTTACCGCACAGCTTTGCAGGACAAAGTCCCGCCGCAGCGGCTTTTGCGGACCGCTCCTGGCTGGAAACACCAGCGAACTGAACGACCGGCAACCGGTGCTCCGAAACCTGCATAAAACGCATGCATGCGCCAAAAACCGGCGGATTTTTTCTGCCTGCTCTTGACCCGACGAGCTCTGCCAACACAGCTCCTGCACTACTCATGTTTCTGTCTTTTGAACCTCAAATACGCTGGCAGGCGTGGCATTTTTGCGTAGTTCCCATGAGATAATGCCAAGGTACATCATTCCAGAAACATGACACGGAGCCCTTTCCTCGCGGCAAACGTATACGATTAGCCCTAGCAGCAGTAGTAGTAGTAGTAGTAGCAGCAGTAGCAGTAGTAGTGGTAGTAGTAGTAATAGTAGTAGTCGTAGTAGTAGTAGTAGTAGCAGTAGTGGTAGTAGTAGTAGTAGTAGTAGTGGTAGTAGTAGTAGTAGTAGTAGTAGTAGGTTCGCGTCCCGTTTGTGACGCCAATTTTTGTGTACTTTGCATCTCTAAAGTCCCATGCTTGCCATGCATTTTGTCCAGGCATGGGGTTCCTTTTTTCAGTGTTTTTTGTGGTATCAATCTCGAAGTTTGTTTCGTGCTTGTCTGCAGAGGCAAATATGTGTATTCACTGCCAGGGGTTCAAGGGCAGGCTTAGTAAGGGTCTGTGGCAGCCCATGGCACGGTCCCTCGTTTGCGGTAGGAACCAGCACAAGCAGCAAAAAAAATCTGAATTCCCGACTAATGTTGCAGGCGACCAGCCAAAAATCTTGTCTAACAGTAATATTGAGCAATGGGGCAATGATAACATTAAATCAAAACTCTTCAAACCCCTGGACTACTGGGGCGTAGCGCGGACTAATGGTGCGATGATGAAACTAAATCAGAACTCTTCAAACACCTGGACTAATGGGGCGATGATAAAACTTAATCAGAATTCGTCAAACACCTGGACTAATGCGGCGTAGCGCGGACTAATGGGACGATGATGAAACTAAATCAGAACTCCTCAAACACCTGGACTAATGGGGCATAGCGTGGACTAATGGGGCGATGATGAAAATCAATCAGAATTCGTCAAACACCTTGACTAATGGGGCGTAGCGTGGACTAATGGGGCGATGATGAAATTAAATCAGAAGAACTCCTCAAACACCTGGACTAATGGGGCGTAGCGTGGACTAATGGGGCGTGATGAAACTAAATCAGAACTCCTCAAACACCTGGACCAATGGGGCGTAGCGTGGACTAATGGGGCGTGATGAAATTAAATCAGAATTCCTCAAACACCTAGACTAATGGGGCGTAGCTTGGAGATCTCAGAAAAGCAGCCAAAAGGAACCAGGTGCGTTCGGGCTCCAATGAGCAAAAAAACCCACTGTAAAACCCCTACGAATGCAAGGAAAACGTAGGGTCACATACGAGCCGCGCACCTAGTAGCAGTAGCAGCAGCAGCAGCAATAGTAGTAGTAGTGGTAGTAGTAGTAGTACTACTACTACTACTACTACTACTACTAACCGCCCCCCCCCCTA